AATAAATTAAAATAAAAATAACTTTTATTTTCTAAGAAAATTATTTTTTATATATATAATACAAAGTCACCGTTTTATCTCTTTTAAAATTAGTGAAAATGAAGAAAATAAATTGAGTGACCATGATGAAACATTATGTGAAATTAAGTTATCATGGTGAAATATTATATGAAATTGGATAATCATAATAAAATAAAATCAAATTGGATGGTCACTGTGACACTGAGTATAAAATTAGATGGTTATGATAAAACAAAATCAAATTGGGTGACCATGGTGACACTATGTATAAAGTTAGGTGACCATTGGCGTATTTAGTCCCATATAACATACAAAAATACATGATGTTATGTGACTCTTGTTAATTTGTAATATGTTCTACCAATATTAAAAGTGGATGAAATTATTTAAAATGATTGAAAATGGACATAGTAATACAGGGTAGAAACACTACTTGAGAGTGCTTAGTGTGAAGTCATTTGAAATCCTTCGGATTCTCGAGGGAATCCCGATATTGTATTCCTTTAGAATAAAAACAATACAATTTCATTTCATTATGATCTTACTTAAAAGACCATTATTTAAATGTGTTCATATTTTTATAAAAATCAAGATGTCATGTCAAGTTTTACTACAATTACTTGAAATGTATTTGCATAACATTAATTTTCTATCAGTATCCGAATTGTAGTGATTAGTGAGCCCCACCTTGAGCTCCCGTTTGATAGCAATTTTCACTTCAAAAAATTAAATTTTTTGATCGTTATTTTACTATTTTAGTTTTCATTTTTTACTTCTTCACTCAAAAGTAAGATCCACTTTTTTTCTAACGATCAAAAAATCAATTCTTATGATCATTACTGAACAGTACCTTAGTATTGTGCAATAAATAAACGAATAATGTTATCTATAACCAATTTAAAGAGTCATAATTAATATCATCAATTAAATGAATCATATGACGCTACATTTAAGTAAATCAATCATTTAATATCATACAGTTGTCATCTATACTAATGTTTGATATCAGTAATGTTGAATAATTGAGGTGCCAGCTTCAAAATCCAATACTAATACATTGTAAAGCTAAAAATATGTAAATTACAATCATTGAGATGTAAGGTTGAGTGAAAAAATATGAATTTATTGGGAACAATATTTGGTGAGATGTCTATAGTACAAATTACTGGTGCAACCTACTTTTCATTTTCGTGGGAAGCATGAATGATTAACAAGACCCAACCCACCCCACTCCATAATTATTATTGTTGGGCAAACAATCTTTTTCTACTCTCAACCTACATAAAGATTATTCGACTCTTGCTTTTTCACTAATCTTTTTTCTGATGCTCGAAAGTTTTTGAAATTCAAAAACATGTGTGCTTCATTGGATCTAATTGGATGAATATAAATAAAAGATGGTTGTATTTTCATTTTTCGTCGTCCTTAATCAGCAACAAATTTTGGTTAATTTTTTTACAAACACTAAGCCAATATTGCGAGTTGTTTTTCCAATCAATGCGTGAAAGAAGGAGATTCTGCACTACGTACGTCTGGCAAAACTCGTTTTACTAACCTAACTCAATAATATTGTTTTGAATTATGAAAACTACAAAAATCTAAACTGAGATCACTACTTTAAATTCAAAGACAATGAATGCCACAACTATAATTTAAAGACAATGGATCCCCTCCTTTGTTAGGAACATAATTGAAACCCGTAACCCAGGGATGAACCCAGAAAATTATTCCAATGCGGCTGATATTAGTAAAAGTTAAAAAAATAACAACAACATTATAATATAAATATTATACTAAAAATGAAATACAATCGTAAAATTTATATGCTGTGACAATTCCTTTGTAAAAATTTAGCCTTCGTTTCATATGGCTAAAAGATTTTATTAAAATTTAGGTCAAATTTAATAATTAATTTGTATCACAGAATTCAAAAGTAAGTTACTATCATTATTTTGAGATATCAACAAATTTTCACTGTCTTTTTATGGTCTCTCATGTACATGGACATAAATCATCATGCATACCCATGTATATGCATGTATGACAAGCGGGGGGAGAGGCGGGGGGGGCTTACATAAATTCCCATACAAGGATTTTTCATTCCCAATTCTAACAACTCTATGCAAAAGTAATTCTGCTCTCTAGTTAAGAACAAAACTCCATCTAATTTACGCTTTAAGCTAAATGAAAGAATCGGTTCGAATCAGTTCAAAAATTTGGTGACAACTAGAATCCTTCAAACCCTTTCTACAGACATACTATCTTCTTTTGAATGTAAACGACAAGTGATTAATTAATCAAGAGACTAAACGAGTTTGATCCGATCCAACACGAAAAATTCCAACACAAGCACCATGAAAGCCCGATTGAAGATGAGGATGAGATAGATGAAGCTGCAAATGAAGGCAAACCCATGGGCCAAGTATGGAAACAAGATGCACTTTGCTTAATAGTTGGTTGTTATTCTTAATAGGGGTGGCCAAAAGCTCAGATGCCTGCACCGAGCCTTTATTGGGTGCCCCTGCCTTAACCCCTATTTGGTGTAGTTTAAAATATTGATAAAATTCTAAATTAAAATCATCAATTAGTTTAATCACGTATTTAATAACAAATTTTATCAACTTTTATCAAAATTTACTATAAAATATAATTTTTATCTACATCAATCGTGGGCTTAGAAAGGTAATTGTGACTAGGGCTAAACGACAAATCGGCAAACCACAAAATCAAATTGTAATCATTGGTTTGGATCCAAGTGGATCCATGAACATTTTGATTTTGAACCGAACAATCCACTTTGAAGTGATTCGGTTTAAGTTTCAATATTTGCAAATCGTTTTAAACCATTAACCCGTCTACATAAAAAATACGAAAATAAATTTATTTAAATATTATCTGACCTGATTAAAACAAAGCATATCACGGTTAAAAATATACATTCATATAAACATAACCTAATTAAACTCCATTCTTAAATAGACAAGTATACAACCCAATATATTAATTAAATTATATCCAAATACAGTCATCACGATTATAAATGTAAACCTCTCAAATTAGGTGAAATGACGAACAACTACTATTGAATCATATTCATCAATATTTGAATGAATTAGAAGCATTGAATGATTTACGAAAAAATTATAGAAGGTACCATCGTGTTTGGTATTTCGTCAATATTTGGATGAGGTATAAACACTGAATGATTTACAAAAAAATAGAAGATACTATCGTATTTGATATCTCGAAAATATTTGGATGAGGTAGAAGTATTGAATTATTTACAAAAAGTTATAGAAGGCATTACGTATTTGATGTTACTATTCATTTTATTTTATTAGTTGTGTTATATGACTTAATTATAACCATTGAATTCATGCGTTATATTCGTACCTTTATGGAGAGAATGAATTATATGTTATAATTAAAAATGTTGCGCCAATTAGTATCTACTAACATGTTAAAATATTTCTATCGTGTCGTTGCATTAAAACGATTAAAATTATATAACTTTGAATTTTAATATTTTTAATGATATATTTATGTTTTAACGTAAAATCTTAGACTAAGGGCCTGTTTGTTTTGAGGAATTTTTTACATTTTTCATTGTTTGATTGTAATAATTTTCTTGGCTATTCATTTTCCATCTATGTGACCATTTTTCTTTGGTTTTGTGGAAAATCAGTTCACATGGATTTGGTGGGAAATCAATTTTCCACTATTTTTTATTTTTAATTTTTTTGACAATGAAAATAAATTCTATCACAATTGTAACAAATTCTATCCATTTAATTGACAATTTTCATGAAAAATAAAACAAACAAATATCAAAAGATCCAAAATTTCAACATTTTTCAGGTGAAAAATTATACAAATCAAACACATTTAATTGATAATTCCCATTAAAATAAGTTATAAACAATTCAATTCCTTGAAATTCATTTTCTTTCCACCAAAATTTCATTCTTTCAATCAAACGGACCCGAATGATTATGATTTAACTTATTCGATTATATATATTTTCGTTAAGCCATGATTTTAATCCGACTCAAACCGAAAAAAAGTGATTTGGATTGATTTGGTTTAAAAATTAAAGTGGTTTAATTTGGTTTGAAACTTTTTCAAGCCACTTTAAGTGTTTTGATGTGAAAACATCCTAAATCGAATCGTGACCAGAGGCAACTGAACTACAATTAGGAAATTTTGCACTTTTCATTCCCAATCTTTACAAACTATTACCAATTCACTTTCAATCTATTTTTTAATACTAGACGTCCTCAACATTTCACTTAATTATAAATCATCTTTTGTCATTTTCTCTGTAAAATGATGAATTTGTCCTCTTCTTTAAATAAACAAAAACGCAGGAACTCAAAATGAAGGAAAAACTGCGTATGGAATCCCAATTCTTGTTTAAAAATTACGAATAGATTCCATTAAGCCTCCGTTTGAACCCCATTATTTCTCATTACATTAAAAGGGTGTTTGAGCCACATTATTATGGTAATAATGCATTCTTGAATAGTGTATTTATGGAAAATATGTGGTTAACAAATAATGATTTTTTTTATTTGCGTGTAATATTATTTTATTGAAAAATATGTGATTGAAATGATGTTAAATCACTGTTTAAAAATGTATTTTTTTAGAATAATGTAGCTCAAACAAGCCCTAAATTAAAATTTTCTCTCTCCTACTTTTAACCACACAATCTTCAATAAAATAATATTACACGTAAATCAAAATTTTTTCAACCACTTATTTTTCAAAAAAAATACTATTATCTCATTATAATGCCCAATAATGGGCTCAAATACACCCTAAGTCTTTATTTATTTATTTATAAAAAGAAAAATCACTCTCCTTCTCTGACTAATAATCAACCCAACATGATTGGGATTTTATAGCGAGCCGGCCCATTGACTAGGTTACCCAACAAATTAGGTTTGTTGGACCCAAATAGCCCAAATTAGGTCAAATCGCCCAAAACCAGTACCACTATATATCAATATCAAAACCCTAGCTGCACGGGCAGCAATCCTTTCTCTCTCTCCAGGTTCGAAACTTGCATACAATTTCATTTCTATGTTAGAATGTAACTGTGGTTCGATTTATTATTGAAAATGTTAGTTGAATTCTGTTTTAACAGGTAGGGTTTGTGTTAGCAGTATTTAACAATGGCTCCTGCTAAAGGTATGTGTTTAACGTTGTAGTTTTTATCTTATTTATTGGTGTTTATGTGGATCATTATATTGTATTGTAAAGTTTAGGAAGGTATAGTAATTAGCGCTGATTAATGTGGGTTAAGCTTTAATTTGTTGTATATTATTAGTAAAAAAATTGCAAATTTAGTTGCAAGTTCTGGGTTTATATGCACTCTGTTATATTGACAACGTTTTATTTTTCTTTCGTAAATGAACGGAAGATTTAAAAAACTTCCGGATCTGAGAGATATAGGGGTTTTATGATTTGTTTTCTTAAGGTGGTCACTTGGTTAAAGCATGTTATTTCGTGGTGTTTCCTGGGATTGTTAAATAGGATTTCCTGGCATTAATTAATTGAACTTGGTCCAAATTATTAGTGAGGTGAAATTTGTCTAGTTGTGCACTAAGAAAATGATGGCGTTTGTTCATCTTCATGGGCTATAGATTTGAAATGTTGACAAGTGCCATGCCCAGAACTCTGTTTCTTGCAGGAGCTATAGTTCTTTTGATCTGAGATGTTTCTTCACAATGGTACATTTAATCCATAGGAGCTATTTAAATTGAGATTCCATGTTATTAACTGGTTAAAGAACCTCCTTAAACCCGCTATATAAGTTGAATTTTCTAATTTTCTATCCTCGTAATAATGATTTACATTTATTTTTTGAGCCTTAATATCTAAAAAATCTATTATTCTTGCTGTATGATAAATGCATTTGTTATGTATCTTATCCTTGCATTTGCTTCACAGTGGACAGTACAAAGAAGGCTGATCCTAAGGCTCAGGCCTTGAAGACTGCCAAGGCTGTGAGAGCAGGCTCTTCAACAATCAAGAAGAAATCAAAGAAGATAATCACAAAGGTTACATTCCACAGGCCCAAGACATTGAAGAAGGACAGAAACCCCAAGTATCCACGCATCAGTGCTCCTCCAAGGAACAAATTGGACCACTACCAAATCCTCAAATATCCTTTGACCACTGAGTCTGCTATGAAAAAGATTGAGGATAATAACACCTTGGTTTTCATTGTTGACATCCGTGCTGACAAGAAGAAGATCAAAGATGCGGTAAAGAAGATGTATGACATTCAGACCAAGAAAGTGAATACTTTGATCAGGTAATTTGTTCTTAACTTATTAGAGCCGACATTGCGTTTGAAATTCACATGTGATACACCTGGAAATTTTATGGTTTCTTGCACATTGTTGAACTCGTCATCACAATCCAGAATAAGATGCTTTAAGTAGTTTTAATCCCAGAAGTTATTGATGATTTGTTTTTGATGGAGATATGATACCTTGTTTATGCTCTTCATCTCCTTTTTTATTCTATTTCATTCTTAAAGCATTTTCAAAGATAATTAATCTCGTTTGTCTTGTGATACAGGCCTGATGGAACCAAGAAAGCATATGTTCGGTTGACTCCAGATTATGATGCTTTGGACGTGGCTAACAAGATTGGGATCATCTAAGCTTTATTGATTTATTATTTTAGTTTGTAAGAAGAAAAATACTTGGTAATCAAGCATTGTTAGTTGTGATCATTAGCACTGTTTTACTTTTATTCTGGTGATATTGGATATTGTCTAGAGCTCAATCTCCAATTCCTACTTTTGGAACTTCCTCTTGGCATTTTCTTGCCTGAATGTTTTGGTTTACCAGTATTCCTTTTTAGCCTAAACCTTGTGCATTCGTATTGTTGCAATTTAACATATGGTTTAACCTTTTGTTTAGTTTGATGATTTCACGCTGTATGTAGAAAATGTGTTTTGACTCAGCAATTTTTATTAAATTTTCACTGAATTTTAAAACTTGTATGCCTGTGGGAAAATTTTATATTTGAAATCAGTTTTATAAAAATATATGTATATACATTCCCTGTTTGGTTTAGGTAAAAATCAGATTTTCAGTAGATTTTTATAAAAGTTTGTCATAATATTTCTCTTTATTTTATATGCCATTCATGACCTTATTCTTGAGGTTTTCATCTTTTCTTACCTGCCCATTTACGACCTTATTCACAAGGTTTCCCCCCCTTTCCTTTTTTTATGACATAAGTTTTTCCCTTTTTATATTGATCGTTCATAAACTTTGTTAAAGTGTTTCATTTATCAACCAATACTTGACCTTTTTCAAGGTTGTCTTTATTGAACAGTTTTTAACCTTGTCTTGAGGTATTGACTTTTTTTTAACCTTTTTCAGGGAAGTCTTCGCTTCTTATTACTCGTCAGTTCTTCACCTTTTCTAAATGTTTCTTTTTCTAGAGGTTCTTTCCCTCATTCCAAGTCTCTTTTAGATTTCACAATGTAGTTTTGATAAGTTGATGAAGAAGGAGATTCTAGAACTTGGAGAGAGAAGAAAATGGAGGGAAAAATTTTGTTATTCACTTCTCAATTCCAGAATGATACAGATACATGAGTGTATATATATATACATGGCTGCAAGTGCTAAGACTCAAATAGAATGTGTGCAATGACTTAAATACCCCTATGTTAACATGGCTCAATACTCCCCTTCAAGATGGGATATCCCCATCTTGTCTAACAAAGACTTTAATTTTGCTCCTCCCATAGGTTTAGTTAGCAGGTCTGCAAGTTGATTTTGTGAAGTTGTATGTAGCATTTTTACTCTCCTGCTTGTACTTTGTCTCTTTCAAGGTGACAATCAATTTCTATGTGCTTCGTTCTTTCATGAAAGATCGGATTGCTTGCTATATGTATAGCTGATTGGTTGTCACAGAAAAGTAATGCAGCTTTAGAATGCGTAACACTTAAGTCACTTAATATATTTTTCAACCAGCTCAACTCACAAACTGCAGCTGCCATTGACCTATATTCTGCTTTGGCTGATGATCTAGAGATCGTATGTTGCTTCTTAGATTTCCAAAATACTAATGAATTTCCCAAAAATATGCAATAACCGGTGACAGATCTTCTTGTATCTAAACATGCGACCCAATCTGCATCGTAGAACCCCTTAAGCTGTAAATCAGATTTGCCATCAAAGAATAAACCTTGTCCAGGCATTCCCTTGAAGTATCTTAACACATGATGGGCTGCTTCCAAATGAGCCCGCTTCGGTAATTCAAGAAACTGACCGAGGACCTGCACCGCATTTGATAGATTAGGCCTCGTTATTGTTAAGTATTGTATCCTTCCCACTAAACTAGCATCTGCAATAGCTTCTCCTCCATCCTTGCTTAACTTCAGATTGTGTGGCAAAGGACTTTTTGCTAGTTTAGCCCCAAGATAACTAGCATCTGTCAATATTTCTAAAGCATATTTTCTTTGACAAATGGATATGCCTTTGGAAGTTCTAGCTATCTCCAGCCTTAGGAAATACTTTAAAATCCCCAAGTCCTTGAGCTTGAATTGATCATTCAATTTCTTCTTGAACTCCTCAATATAATGTAAATTATTTTCACCTATGATAATATCATCTACGTAGATAAGTAGCATAGTAAAAGAGCGGCCATTTTGTTTGCTAAATAAGGAGTAATCAGATTTTGATTGCTTAAAGCCCTATGACAAAATGTAGGCAGTCAACTTGGTATTCCATTGGCGCGATGCCTGTTTGAGTCCATATATGGACTTGTTTAATTTGCAAACTAATTTTTCTCCATTCTCCCCCTGTTGCTCAAAACCTGGAGGCATCATCATGTAGACTTTTTCATCTAGTTCACCATGAAGAAAGGCATTGTTAATGTCTAATTGATAAAGATGCCACTTTTTCTTGGCTGCAACGGCCAAAAGAGTTTTCACCGTAACGAGCTTGGCAACAGGTGAAAACGTTTCCTCATAGTCTTAACCAGCTTGTTGTGTGAAGCCCTTAGCCACAAGTCGGGCCTTTTTCCTTTCCTCTGTCCCATCTGAATTCAATTTTACTTTGAAAACCCATTTACAATCCACTGGTTTTTTATGTGCTGGAAGCTGGCCAATGTCCAAGTGTTGTTTGAAACAAGAGCCTGATACTCTGTATCTATGGCTTGACACCAATCTGGATGTTGAGATGCCTCGGCAAAGGATTGAAGCTCATAGATGGTGGATAGTGCTAATGTGTACTTTCTCTGTGAAGGAGACAATCTATTATAACTCAACCAGTTTGATAAGGGATACTGCCTTCCAGATTCAGGTCCTTTCTCCATGGAATCTGATTGAGATGGAAGCATCTGTGACACCAGGTTGCAATGATAATTTTGAAGATAGGACGGAGGATGCTTGGGTCTAGTAGATCTGTGGGGAGGTGTGAGACATGGTTGAGGATATGTTTCTGATGAAGTTATCTCAAATGAGGCTTTTCCTTGTGAAATATGTGATGTTGAGGGAGAAGGTTGATCAGATAATGATGAAGAATGAATGTTTGTGGTGGCTGAATCTGAGGTGGTGAGTGGAATGTCAACATACTGATGTGACTGTATCGAAAATAAAGTCTGACTGGGATGTGGAATATCTTTAGGCCAGGAAAGAAAATTGAGAAGGTGAGGGTGATGAAAAGGAAATATTGTCTCATGGAAAGAAACATCTCTGGAAATGAAAGTGGTATTTGTTTGAAGGTTGTACAACTTGTAGGCCTTCATGCCATAGGGATACCCAAGAAAAATACAGGCCATAGCTCTCGGATCAAATTTGGTTCAATGTTTCTTAAGAGTGGAAGCATAACAAAGGTAACCGAAAACTCTAAGGTGAGTATATGATGGCTTAGTTTGATATAGAAGCTCATAAGGAGATTTGTTATTGAGAATTGTGGTTGGAGTTCGATTAATAAGATGCGTAGCAGTGAGAATGCAGTCCCCCCCAGAATTTGTGAGGTAATTTGGCTTGAAATTTAATGGCTCTAGCAATGTTAAGAATATGTTGGTGTTTTCGCTCCTCTACACCATTTTGTTGTGGTATTTCCACACAACTTACTTGGTGTATAACACCTTTGGAGTGGAAGAAATCAGTCATGAGAAATTCAGATCCATTGTCTGATTTGAGGTATTTTATATTGCAATGAAAATGTGTTTGAATCAAGCAAAAGAAAGATTGAATGATGGATCGGGTTTGAGATTTGTCTCACATGAGATAGGTCCAAGTCATACGACTATAATCGTCTACAATTGTTAAAAAATATTTAGCGCCATCCAAGGTAGGAGTTGAATATGGCCCCCAAATATCACAATGTATGAGCTCAAATGCCTTGGAAGTTTTTGTCTCACTATGCTGAAATGGTAATCTTTGTTGTTTAGCCATGGGACAGATAGAGAAATGCAAGTGTTCATTAAAAGTGATGGCAGAAATCAACTTATGTAAAAGAGACAGTTTGGAAACAGGAATATGTCCCAATCGACAGTGCCAAACATCAATGTTTGTTTTGACAGCATTAGTGTTCATTGAGGTACAAACAACAGGACTTTCTTTATTACATTTCGAAGATGAAGCATAATTATTGTATGGAAATTGTAGAGATTTGAGTGAAGTATTTTCATTGCTTTGATGTCCAGAACGCTGAAAATGGTAGAGTGTATCTTCAAGCTTGCCTACTCCAATCGTCATCCATGTCGAAAGATCCTGAACAAAACAACAATTGTGGATGAATATCAAGAAGCAGTTGTGCTTAAGTGTCAATTTGCTGGCAGATATCAGATTAAATTTAAAGCATGGCACAACTAAAACATTTGTCAGAATCAAAGTAGCAGATAACTTCACTGTCCCTGTGCGTGTAACATCAGCAGTACTACCATCGGGTAATCTTACAAATCCATTAATTTTGGCATTCACAGTGGTTAGATGTTTAAGAGAACAAACATTGTGTTCTGAAGGTCCCGTGTCTATGATCCACTTATCTGCAAGTACAAGGACATTAGAGCGTGCGAGATTACCTGAGAAGGCAAATGCATCAGGCATTGAGGACGAGGGAGATATCATATCTTCAAGCTGTTGGCCGCAAATTGCAAGTTTATCCCTATAACTGTGGTGCCAACACAGCTAGAATTTGTTGGCATTGATCAAGTGTAATAGTGAGGCTGGAGATAGCATTCATTACTTCTGAATTATTAACCTGAGACGCTTCACTAACAGCATTTGCAACTGGACATTTTCCTTTAGAAAGTTTGTGACCTGGAGGATAACCAATTAGCTTGTAGCATTTTCCCTTAAGATGCCCAAGCATTCCACAGTGGCTACACATTGGTTTCTCCCTTCTTTGTAATGTACTAGCTCTTTTATTATTATTGGAATTGAAAATCAGTCTACTGGCAAAAGCCTTTGCATCAAATTGTTGTTGTCTTTTACCAACAACTTCCTTTGGCCTCTCATCTTGTAGGATTAGAGCAAATACCTTGTTGAGAGGGGATAATAGATCCATCAACAATATTTGGCTTCTCACACTAGAGAAATGTTCATCTAAACCCATAAGAAACTGCATTGTTGATCTTCAAACTTATAATTGGTATTGTTGACTTCCGGTCTATAATTGACAGAGCAATTTCCTTGAGTAATCGAAGCAATTTGCTTCTTCAGTTCATATATACGAGGTCCATTACCTTGGCTATAGCAGTCCTTGAGTTCAATCCAGATTTGCCTCGCCGAATCTTTGTGCATCACACTGGGGTATAACTCCTTCGGAATGGAGTTGATAATCCAAAAGGAAACCACATGATTACATCTCCTCCAAGCTCCATAAAGAGGATCATCCAATGGAGGTTTGACGATCGATCCGTCAATGAAGCCCTCCTCGTTTTTCACATTGAGTGCCATCACCACCGCACGACTCCACGTCGCATAATTATCTTCATTAAGCATCACAGAGATGAGCTGCATACATGTATTGTCCCCATAGTGGAGGTAATACGGACTGCTCGGATCACTGATCAATCGATTGACAAGAGGAATCACGTCTCCGGTCATCGTTTCTACAGCAGATGAATAAGTTGATGAACCAGCTTGCTTTGTCTGGTTTTGAATCTCTGTTTCAGCACTGGATTTGTTCGCCATCGCAGGGAACTTCACTGCTCTGATACCATGATAAGTTGATGAAGAAGGAGATTCTAGAACTTGGAGAGAAAAGAAAATGGCGGGAAAAATTTTGTTATTCACTTCTCAATTCCAAAATGATATAGATACACGAGTGTATATATATACATGGCTGTAGGTGCTAAGACTCAAATACCCCTATGTTAATATGACTCAATAAGTTTGAAAGTAATATAAGAGAATCTCGACAATGACGACGTTCAATTTGCATTTATCTTGTTGATCAAAAGTTATGGATATCCCCCATAGAACATCTTATTCTTAGTGAACAATTTCAAGATTTTTACTTATTTCATATATTTTGTTTTTAACTTCATTTAAATTTCTAGAATAAATAATTTTGACCTTTAGTTTTAATCTATCCAATGCTTAATATATATTTCATTAAGATTATGAGATAATTCGTTATAACCAATTTAGATCTATAAGATATTGAATGTTGAATTGAGTTAAATTAAATATCACGATTATTTGTTAAATAAGTGCGTGTGTATAGTTTTGAAAATTAAGAGCAAATTTGGTTTATGGGTACTCAAGTTTTGCAACCCTGTGCGTGTTACTATTTCGTATTTTCTAGTGTTCGGTGTCTCAAGCTAACTGCCATAAGAGGCCAGTTTAGGAGAATTCATTTATTGCCTAGCGGAAGTTTTCAAAAGATTCAAGTTACATTTCGTACAATAAAGATATATTTCGTACACGGACAACATATCCAAAGTTTAAGATTTATCCCAAATTGATTAACGAACGTAATGTCAACAGTTCTCAAGGTAACATCGATGCAGTTCAAAAGAATAACCATAGCTAATTCTATAATTGTTTTGGTCGCAATAATTCCAAAGTCTCGTTGATATGAAACTTGTCCGATTTCCAAACCCGAGTGGTTTCATTCAGAAAGTCGAACTAGTACACTTCACCATGATCGTTTGAAGTAGCGACTAGAATCGTTAAAGGTTTACATCTTATACAAAATTCAAACGGCAAAAACACATATCCGAACGAAATCCAAGGTAATGTACACATAATCTAGGTCGCAAATAATCCAAATCAGCAATGAAAATACAAAAATCCAGCATAACAAATAACTAAAAGGTTCAATATGTGTTATTTCATCATTTCTCAGATTTTTACTGCAGAAATGAAAGGTCAAATGTCATTTTTGATAACCATTCCCACTCTCCGACTCTCTTCTCTCTCTTTTATCTTCTTGTGAGCTTTTAACAAAGCAAGAAAAGGAAGGAGGTTAGGTATTGAGGATCAAAGGAAGGGATTACTATTTTCAAAAGGTTTTTTTATCATTCAAGAAATCAACTGTAAATACAATGTCCAATTGGTTAGTTCTTATTGATTTATGATATTTTATGATGATTAACTACATGACTAATGGGCCTTCAGGATAATGATTCATTGGAACGAACAATGAATTGGTTCTTAGAGTAAGATAATGAGATGATATGAAATGTTAAGAGTAATTATGGAAAGAACAAAATAGAAAAAGAACAATAGAAAATAAATTTAAGAATCACTAAAGAGAGAACATATTTGCAAACTCAGGTCTTTATATTACAAAGCATCCTTAAAATAGATTCGCCTCTCACATTAAGTGTTTGAATTTTGTTGAACGTCTGTCTTCTGTGAAACAATGGAAATTTCAGTAGAAATTGAGCACTAAGTTTCTACACCAACAAACTGAATCGTACATGAACTCGATTTCCAAGACTCTTTACATGAAGTGGAAAAATTCCGGGCAGATAGAAAATATATGCAGAGAATCGATGAAGTGGTATTAAGTCTACACTTACTTCCAATACTTAAAAAACTCGAGAGATAATTGCTCAACTGCGTCAACAATAGAGTGAGAAAAAATTTTCTTGAAGGAAACAACGTGAAATATATATTTCGAACAAACCATGAATGGATTTATTTATAATTTACAGGAGTTTCATTCATATCAGAAGGAAGTGGTAACAGTGATTTGTCATCACTCATCAGATTACAGCTGCCAAGGATCAATGCTTGAGGAACTACCAATTAATGGGCACGTTTTAATTGATGGGGAAACTTCATGAATATATGATTCTGATAGTGAACCACGTAGTACAATATGTCCATAGAATTTCAAAGTAGGGGACCATATAGTATATATAGTACTCTAATTGTCTTTAAGTTTGGCTGGATGCAAAAGAAAATTAACATTAACCTTCGCATCAAAACCAAAACTCAAAGGTTGTTAGATAATTTTCTGATGAAATTTTGTTATTTTTCGTTATGATCATGATCTGATATCATCTTCTGGATCATAGCACTTGTTTCTGTCTCAGACATCCTATCTTCTTCCTTGCTTCGAGATTGAGAGTACGTCTCGAAAAATTCTTTGTTTTCTTTCTCTAACTCGTTCCACACTGCAAACCAACTTATAGATCAAGACTATTCATGTAAACAATATCTTGTACCTTAAAAGTTTATGAAATGCTGGATTCGATAACATTTGACAGTATTGAGAAAGAAAAATTCTCTGCTACTGTACGACCAATAAAACTGTGTACCAAACAGATGAGGAATGAAACTCCTGTAGTCTTCGAGCAAGCAAAGTTTAAACTCTATGCATATGTTTATCAAAAACCCTCATTCTGGGGGGAGAAAATAATGCAGAAATACTCTTAATCTGTGGATAGCATATTCTGCAAGTAGCATGGACTGATTTTATGCACCGGGATATTAGGTTCATGCATGTGATGGACAGAGAAAGGGATTAAGATAAACTAACCAGTTGAAGTAATCACTGGTTGAATATTGGCATGCTTTGAAAGGGCTTCCATGCACTCTTCTTTGCTCATTTTGAAGATCAAACACTTTTCTATAAGGTGATGTACCTAAATCACATCAAAGCTTCGGTTTTAAATCCAGCATAAGCATACCTTCAAAACATGTCAAGAACGAAGTAGTACTATCACGAGATTTTAGTTTCTTTTCTTAATATTGTCGAGTCACCTTACCATGTGGATGTAAGAAGCAGTAGAGTCCCCCATGACAGTATTCTGATATGATCTTCCTAATGAAACATAGAAGCTCAATGATAAGAATTACAAGATATATAGAGAAGGTATAGAGAGAGTGCATTGGATCAAAATTTTATGTTGTGAAGAAAGGAGAGAAATGGTATGGTGAGGGGAGAAGTCCCACGTGGGAGATGAAGGATAATTGGTGGAGAAGGGATTAGAGCAGATTTGTGAATGATCATTTATTTGTCTTCTCCTTGTAGGATTGATTAACATTAGCCAGCACCCCCTCCACGTGATGATTGGGCCCCCAATTTTAGACTCATATACTCAACAACTAGACCAGCTCAATACACTAAAGTTGCAATATTCCGTAAGGTAATCAAGATCACTTTGTTAAAGTCATTTCAGTAGATTAGAGGTGTAAAACAGGCGGTATGGTCCGGGTTTGAAGCGGTTCGGACTCCCCAAGACTAGCAGCATAACCTTGCGTGGGAGGCCAACCCACCACATGCTCCATCAGAAGTTAGACTGTGCATTTTGTTAAGGGATAAAATCCCACCTTGAATAAAGATAAAAACTTAGACCAACTTTAAAGGGATTGGGCTACTCCTCCTAATAAGGTAAACATTTTTAAGATAAAACCTCAAATATTGATATAGTATTATGAATAATTTGATCCGATTAAAACTCAAAAAATGAGCACACGAATTTTAATATTAGTCTAATCAAACAAGCCACCATCTTGAGATATAATCTTATATCAAATAAAGATGAAAATATAGACCTATTTATAAGTAATTGGACTACTATACTTCATCAGGTTGACCTTTTAAGATGGAACTTCAATTCGTAACACTTTTAATGTATAGGATTGCCTAATCAAGCATATTTTAACAACCTCTAGAGAGATTCACGCTTGAACTACTTCTCTTTAGAGTATTTTTGGTTGCATATAATATAAGACAGTCCGGGAATATTGTTATTTGGCACACACTGATTGGTTTTCATAATAGAAATAATAAATCACCCCTCAACTCACCCCACAGAAGGAAATGAAAAGCAAGTTTTTCCACACTTTTCTCAAGTTCACTGTCATGTCTTGCCTTGAATTGGTCCTTGCGTGTTACTTTCCATCCCTTTCCCTCTCTCTAGAAAGAGCCGAATTAGAGGATATTACCACTCCTATTTTGGCCTCACTCATCTTTATGTCCTTCAACTGTCAATTGCCTTGCTCAAATTACTATACCAATCACATGCCTCATAGTAAGATACAATGTACCTCACCACACTAATTAAATTGGGGTTTTCGCAACGGTTTAAAGAAGACGGAGATGTTAAAATTGTTGGGGCATGGAAGCTCCAATAACACACATTGCTTCCAAAAGATTTTAAAGAACTAGATTATATGACAATATTAAAATATACTAAATCACACACCAAAAAACATGGTTTAAAAGTAAAGAAAAAACAAAGGATTAATGGCAAAGGACGATGTTTATTAATTCAATAATATGGAGAATACAAAGTAATTTACCAATTGACTTCTATCTGTTACTCTACCGAAACTAACAAAATGAGCCTAATATTTATACTACACGGCTAAACCCTAAGTAGAGTTCCAAAATGTAAGAAATTAGGTTACAATTAGGAATTTGATCTTCTTTCCAATTCTAATCAAATTATGCTGCTTCAATCTCCTAATTTGAGTCACAATCCTAACAATCTCCACCTTGACTCAAACTTCGGTACAACGAATGAAACTCCTAGATTTCAAATCTGTCTGCAATGAAATGAACTGGCCGAATCTCCTCAACACAGTTACCACTCCATATAAACCAACACACTCGTCCTCTGCTCGTCGTCCACAACAGACACCCGAACCCAAACCCAGGGTTCCCAATTCTACCAAAGAATTAATGTTAATCATACAGGGTCGAAGCACACCCTGTAGCAAGAACCAAATCAGATGTTTGATCAGAAGGCCTCTTGCTGGAACTATCGCTTTCAACATCTCCAGAAGCATCCCAAACATTGCTGACACTACGGTACCTACGCTCGATGAGTCCTACCCCAGCAACTGAATACATTGTACTCGCTGAAATTGTTGGCAAAGGGGGATCACAACGCTCTCCCTAGCAGTGTTTTGAACCGACTCAGAACCCAACCCAAGAGGTACTGTACCAACTGAACTTCCACTACGGTACTAAACTTGTCTAAATGTCTCCTAACAGGTTCTGCACTTCCCTACAAAATGTACAATTGGGATCTTTTCCGTCCCTTCGATACAACCCCGACTCCCTTCGGACCTTTAAGACTCCACTTCCTCCAGAGAATTTATACCCTTTTACATTCAGAGTACTTAGCGAAATGTGATTCCTTTTCAGGTCAGGAACATGTCGAACTTGATCAATTGTTCTAAATGACACATCCCGCAGCCTCAATCTGACTCGACCAATCCCAGCAATACGGCAAGATTGGTTGTTTCTTATTACAACTCCACCTTGCTGAATAGCTTCATATGTCTGAAATAAATTTCTATCAGAACACATTTGGTGCGAACACGCTGAATCAAGAATCCACTTCTCGTCAGGCCTAGACTCCACATCAGATACTATGGTCAACATCACCTCTTCGCCATCTGAAAAATTCTCAACTACATTGGTTTCGTCTGAATTCAAAGGTTGCACCCCATGATTTGCAACTAAATCACCTTTAGTCTGCAACATATCGCAATCCTTCCAAATATGTCCTTTCCTTTTGTAGTAGTAACAAGTCACATTGCTAAATTTGACTCTCGATCTGCCTCTTTGTCGCCCACCTTGAGATACAAGAGCTTTCCCATCCCTTGATATAACTCCAACCAAATGTTTCGTCTTCTCCTTTGAGTGCAAAGCATCATAGACATCTTCTATAGTGAAAGTATCTCGACTACACAAAATAGTATCTCAAAACGACACATAAGACCCAGGCAGAGAACAAAATAGGATCAAGGCAAGATCTTCTTCATCGTACTTAACCTCCAACATTTTCAGATCTGCAACTATTTCCTTGAACATGGCAACATGGTCTTTCAACGACTCTCCTTCCGTCATGCGATGTAAATAAAGCTTCTGCTTAAGAGCCAGTTTACTTGTAAGACTTTTAGTCATACATAACTGCTCCAACTTCAACCACAAAGCAGCCGCCGTTTTCTCCTCCAAGACATTCTGTAGAATGTTGTTGGACAGAGAGGCGAATCAATGACGTAGCCTTCCGATCATTCCGTTGTTTCTTCTCCATTGTCCATCTAGCTGGCATTATCTCAAAACCCAACAACGCATCTTCTAAATCCAACTGCGCCAGAACAACCCTCATCTTTACGTGCCACAACAAGAACCTTATGTTGCGAACTAATTGCGGAATATCATACTTTAACCCAACCATCTCGAAAAAAATTCTCAACCAATCCACAAAAAATCAACAACCTCCCTTTGATACCACTTGTTGGGGGTGCAGAAGCTCCAATAACACACGTTGATTCCAAATCGAATTTTAAAGAACTAGATTATATGACAATATTGAAGTCTACTAGATCACACACCGAAAAACAAGGTTTAGAAGTAAAGAAAAATAAAGGATTAATGACAAATGACGATATTTATTAATTCAACAATATGGAGAATACAAAGCAATTTAGCAATTAACTTCTATGTGTTACTCTATCTAAACTAACAAAAGAGCCTAATATTTATACTACTCGGCCAAGCCCTAAGTAGAGTCCTAAAAGGTAATAAATTAGGTTACAATTACGAATTTGATCTCCTTTTCAACTCCAGTCAAATTATGCTTCTTCAATCTCCTAATTTGAGTCACATTCCTAACAAAAATCTGCCTCGGCGTGGCTTCTTTTCCAAGAAATTGCGATATTTCTCTTCTTAACATTTTATTCGATGCCTATAGTTTTTTCATGACGACTAACAAGGTATCCAGCATAAAATAGTTCTTTTGTTGGATTTTCGAAGTTAATTAACCTATAAATTGTAATCTTAATTAAAGAATCTTGAAGCTGATGCAAAATAATCTGTCTTGTTCATTCAACTTATTTTTCACAGATTTGTCCTTTAGCTTCTCTCTGATCATAGCACCTCATTGACAACTTGCACTGTCCAAAATAATTGAAAAAACCTGTTTTGAGGTATAAGTAACAAGTAGCAAGACTCTATACATTCAAACAAAACAGAAATCTTATATTATTCAAGATATTTCGCCAGATAATTATATCCTCGTCTGAACTAAAATAGATTCTTTCTTGGGTGTATTTTTGGTAGCATGCACTTGATCCTAGCTGGGTTTTACAAAGCATAACCCAAAGGATGAATAAGAGGATATGGTGGTAAGAGATTTGTGGTTCTTGAATAATCTGCAAGTTCCTTAAAATTTCACTGTGTACCAACCATATACATCATGTACAATGTTATCTGAAACTGAGGGAGCATGTGCACCTCATGATCTGTTGCATAGTCGAATGAAGTCAAATTCTCGACCTCTTCGATAGTTTAAATTTTTGGATAAGATAGTTGAATGCAACGAGACGTATTAGACTATTTAGCTTAGCTGGCAATAGCTGGCAATTGATTGTAGTACCGTTAGTTAGTTAGATGAAGTTAGTTAGTTAAAGTTAGTTAGTTAACTGCAGTTTAGTGAGCTGGGATATTCTGTTTGATGCTGGCATATTCTGTTAATGAACCAAGCTGTATTTATATCTGGATGTACGACATTTTTAGATGAATGAATCATTTCTTTCATTTCATAGCTTTCTTCTTCAATATGGTATCAGAGCCCATTAAGCTCCAACGAGCGATTCGATCCGATTAAGTCTCTAAAATGAGCACACGGATTTCAAGATTGGTCTGCTCAAACGAGCCACCATCTTGCGGGGGCATGTTAAGGGAATATAATCCCACATCGGTAAATCCTATTTGATTTGAAGTTTCATTCATGGCTTTGAATGTACCGAACTCAACATCAAATAATCCTTCATCGTCAGTCAGTAATTTAGTTACTGATGATGGAACCAGCCAGTATTTTCTACATCATTCGGATAGTCCAGGTCTTGTCCTCGTTTCACAGCAGTTGGTTGGGGACAACTATGCATCCTGGAGCCGATCGATGATGATAGCACTCTCAGTGAAAAACAAATTAGGATTCATTAATGGATCTATTCCTCGGCCTGAAAATGACCA